AATAATTCACAATTTTGAAATCCCATAGTTGAAATATCCTAATTGATCTCCCTGCTTCTAGGGTTGCAATCCCCACCCCCAGCACCACTGCAGTTTGTTTTCCACACCATTTTTATAAAACCCAAGAATTTGATCATGATCATGCCTCACTTCTGCTTAAAGCACTTCAATGACTTGGAATAATTATCCTGACTTGATGGTCCTGGTCTACAACTGTTGTCTCAGCACAATTATCACCCTCAAAAATGTCCTAATTGGACAATGATGATATGATCACCCTGTACCTACTCTATCTTCTGCTTACATTTCCAGCCTCATTGCTCCTCATTCCTTCCTCACCCCTACACACTACTCTAGTCTTATTGAACCTAAAGTTTTTCAAATTTGTTGTACTCACTGCTCTCACATGCTCTTCCTTCTACCTGGACATTCCCTTCTCTCTTTTTCTGGATGACTCCGACCATCCGGGTCTCAGGCTACACTTTCCTTTACAGAGGAGTCTTCTCTGACCCCCAAGTTTATGACAGGTACCTCTTTGTGTTCCCATAGCATCTTGCACTTCTCCATCCTCGCTCTTGCCTCACTGTTTTCATTACCTGTTAACATCTGTGGGTTCCCCACTAGCCTGTAAGCTCTCTCAGGTCAGCGACCACATCTGCTTGCTGCGCAGTTGAATCCTGGTGCCTAACCCAGGTCCCTGTGCAGAGATGACTGTCAGCAAATATTTGGACAATGATTGAAGTAAAACGTCACGTGCTATTAGAATGATCAAAGTACGTGTGTGGCAAAATCCTATTACACAATGAATATTCTGGGAACATGCCTAATTTGTTGCTATAAACAGTATCTTGTCTTCTTGCCTCTGTTCATCATGTTTGTGATCACGGTGGAAATGATTCTGTGTTCCTTTGATTGAAAGTTCATTCCAGGACAGGATTTGGAGCTGGTACACACTGTCAATTCCAGGAAGTCTTGCAGGTGATAATGTTGCAAAACAAAGCAAAGAACAGATGTTTTCTAGCCTTTTCAAGCACTTGAGGCTACTTTTATTTCCAATATGCAAGGCAGATTGGTTTTCAAGTTCTTTGCTTTGAAGTTAAAATTAAATTTACTGTCATTATTCTAACATATCCTAGACTGTTTAAGTTCCAAGTTCTATTCTCACACTAACAAAAACAAACATAAAATGTTTCATACATCCCATATTATTATTTGCAAACTTGAAATTGTGTGCTTTTAGATGGTAAATTTTACACTGTTATTTGATCTACCAAAGAATCTGAACGTTATAGTATTTTGTTCCACGTGCATTGACTAGAAACGACTTCTAGATCTATCTAGGGGTGTTTGGACACCATTCTATTAAATGAAAAGGAAGGCTGATAGCCTTTTTCCAAACAGAAATAACTTTAGTGTTTTTCTGATTACACAAACAATATATGTTCACTGCAAAAAAGTCAGGAAAGATGAAGAAAATAAGAATCGGCTATAATCCCACTTTTAGGTTACTGTGTGAAACATTTTAGGGTATGTATTTCTAGGCTTTTTTACTGCATATGTAGTCATGTCAATACAGATTTTTTTTTTTTTATGAAAATGGTATCATTCCACACATATGGCTTTAAAATGTCTTTTTCCACTTGAGAAGTTTGGGACTTTCAGGGAGAAAAATAGATAAAGTAGATTTTTAGGAAGTTTTGCTTTCTGGTGTATTGAGTGGCGTAATTTCCCCTTCGCCACCCCCATTAAGAAAACTTCTATAATAATCTATATTACTCTTTGAATCAGTCAGAGTTCATTTGAAGGAAACAGAAATGATGCTAGCCCTTTTAGAAAAAGATTCGATTTTTAAAAAGAGGTATTTACGGGCCGGCCCCGTGGCTTAGCGGTTAAGTGCGCGCGCTCCGCTGCTGGCGGCCCGGGTTTGGATCCTGGGTGCATACCTACTCACTGCTTCTCCGGCCATGTTCAGGCCACATCCCACATACAGCAACTAGAAGGACTTGCAGCTATGACCTACAACTATCCCTGGGGCTTTGGGGGAAAAAATAAATAAATAAATAAAATTATAAAAAGAGGGATTGGAGGTCTAGAAGAGGGGACTGGGACTGGTCCTCCAGAAATCAGCCTGAACTGATGAACTGGACTGCCGAGGCCACTGCCCCTTCCCCAGGATCAGGGAGACCGAGAATCAGCAAGCAGCCTCCGGAGTGGCTGCTCAGTAGATGCATCATCACTCTAGTTCACATACAGGGACAGACTCGTCACTGCCACTCTTGTTGGCCCTAGAGCCACACAGCATCTGCTGACCCACAATGCCAAAAATGCATGTCCTGCTTCCCTGCGTCTTGCTTCCCTACCTCGCTAAACCGGTGGCCTGTATACAGGAAACTAAAAGACAGACAAACAAGCAAAACAACTGTGCTTGCCATCAGAAATCACAGAGATTTCCTCTGCCTCACTTCTGTCTTCAAAATATCAGGTTAGTGCATCTACTTGGCAGAACCTAAATCACATCAGGAACCGTAGCTCAAGGGAGTGTAGGAAATGTAGTTTTTAGCTGTGCAGCCTCTGCAGCATAGGGCAGCCCAAGCCCACCACTCAGGAGGCTGGAGTGGACATTGAGTGCCACCATATTCACCACACATCAAGGCTTTGCGTGTTGGATTTTCATTCCTTAGATGCATCACCATACAAAGAAGAACTTAAAGGATAACTTATCTGAAGGGGTGATACATACCACTACAATTTATTTAACCCATCCCTATTGCTAGTTATTTACTCTTTTTCTATTTTTCCATATAAACAATGTTTTGATAAACTGCTCTTATCAGAGTCACTAATAGCCTCCATGTTGCTAAACCCCATGGTCAATTGTCAGACCTCATTTTACTTGACCTATCAGGACATTTGATATGGCTACTTATTCTCATTGAAACCCTTTCTTCACTTGGTTTCCAGAACCTCATGCTCTCCTTGTTTTCCTTCTAGCTCGCCTGCTCAGTCTAAGTCTCCTTGCTGGTTCCTCCTCATCTCTCCAACTCTCAATGTTGGGTGCCCCAGGATTCAGTCCTGGGAACCCGTCTCATCTCTGTTTACTTTATTCCCTTGCTCATCTCATCTAATCTTTTGGCTTTAAATACTCTGAACTCCACACCCACATATCCAACAGCTGACTGGTTAACGTGTACTTTTGGATGCTTTGTAGACATATAAAATTTAACATTTCCAAAACTGAACTGCTCTTCCCCACTACCTATATTCCACTCACAGTCTTCTCCATTTCAATTCACGGACCCTCCATCTTTCCGTTTGCTTAGGACAAAGACCTGGGAATCACTCTTTATTTCTCCCTTTCTGTTACATTCACATTCAATCCATCAGCATATTCTGTTAATTCTAACTCCAAAATTATCCACAATCCAACTACTTCTCTCCATCCCCACTGCTGCCTGCTGGTCCAAGCCACTGTAATTTCTCTCTTGGACTATAGCCTCAGCTCCTCAATGGTCTCTGTGCCCTCCCTTGAGTCTAAAAGTTAGAACATGTCACCCCTCTACTCACAACACTCTGGTGAAATTCTGTCTCACTCAGGATAAAAGTCAAAATCCTTACAACAACCCCGAAGGCTCTTTATGACACCACCACCCCCACTGCCACCATCTCTCTGATTTCCTTTCCTGTCATTCTCATCCTGGCTCACTTTGCTTCAGCCTCCTTGATATTCTTAAGCACACTTATTCCTAAGCGACGTGGCAATTGCTGTCCCCTCTGCTTGGCATGCTCTTCCCCGAGGTGTACACAAGGCTCTCTCATCGCCCTCAAGACTTTGCTCAGCCATCACCTGCTCCATAAGACCTTCCCTGATCACCCTATTTAAAATTGCAAACTCACCTCCCCTCCAGCCCTCCAAACCCTCCTTCTCTGTTTCATTTTTCTCCATAGCACCTACCACTTTCTAAATAACTGCATAACTTCTTTCTTTTATTGTCTGTCCCAACCCCTGTGAGAAAATGGATTTTTTTAATATATTGTTTATTATTGAATTCTCAGTGCATGGAACAGTGTCTGGGCACATTGATTATCATTCTTCAAATATTTGTTGAATGGATACATTTCTTTATACATGTGTCATTGTGCACTTGTCTCATTATTTATTGGGAATTAATTCCTAGGGTCAAAGCTATGCACAGATTGCCCAGAAAGGTTTTAACAGTTTGTTCTTTCACCAAGAGTCCATGAGATTGTGTTTTTCCTGATACCCTCCTAACATCATGCCCTAGTCACGCTATCCTTTCTTCTCCTTGAACTCACCACGTTCATCCCCACTTGCATTTGCGCTGACTACTCCCTCCTCCCAGACTCTCCTGCCACACCTTTGCCTGGTTTAATTCTTCTTCTTACTCAGATCTCACTTTAACTGTCACTTCCTTGGAGAGGCCTCCCCTGACCATCAGCTAAAGTAACTTCCCCGTCACTCCACGTCACGTCACCCTATTTTATTTTCATCATAGCATGTATCACTACCAGGTATTTTCTTATTTGTATACGTATTTGTTTGACTATGCTTTCTCTCTCTAGAATGTAAGCTCCATGAGAATAGGAGCTTTATGTGTCTTTTTCAACACTATCTCCAGTAAATGTGTGTTTCATAATGGAATCAACCCTGGGTATTATAATTTTTTTCATTATTACCATCTGGCAGGTAAAAAGTAGATTCAACATGAATTGTTTTCGGGATTGATGAGAGTGAGCATCTTTTCAAGTAGGAAAGCCTTTTTTGAAATAGCAAATGATGAGATGGTCTAGAAGCTGAAATATTCAGTTAATGTATTTGTTTTAGATATGCTATATCAGATTTCTTACGTTGCTGATAAGTTTCATAATTTCTTGAGTTTCTGAAGGCTTCTCTCTCATTTATGCCGACATTAGCGTCCATCAAGTAGGATTCTTCTTGCAAACTGCGCTTACGTACTGTTGTTTTCTCTTCTTCTCCGCAGCTTTTGGAAAGAACCAGCAGTGGTTTTGAAGACTCAGATTCCGGTGCTACCAAGAGTCCGCTCCACTTAGCTGTAAGTGAGATGCTATGAGCAGCTTTGCCTGTTCCAGAAAGAACCTAAACGTTCCTAAAACCAGGCTGCTCTTAAAATGGAAGCATAGTAATGCAGTAATAAGGAATAATGAAAATAGTACAAAGGTAAATGTGCAGGCTGCGGAGAGAAAGGCTACCTTGAGTTCCAATCCCAGCCTCACCCCCGGTGACCTCAGACACATTACTGACCCTGTCTGAGCCTTGGTTTCCCCATCTGTAAAATGAGGGCAAAGGAAAAGAGATAATGTGCATAAAGCCCTTACCACAGTGTATTTAAAACGATTGTTATAAATTTTAACAATCTTTAAAATTACCATAATCTAGTAGTTAAATCAATAAACTGAGGAAATTCAAAGAAAACATTTTGATTTAAGAGATTTATTATAGACAACAATACACAATTATTCAACCTACAGATAATCAAATACCACATTAAAAACTTGTGAGAGGGGCCGGCCCGGTGGCATAGTGGTTAATTTCATGCGCTCCGCTGCGGCAGCCTGGGGTTCACAGGTTCGAATCCCGGGCACAGACCAGGGCACCACTTATCAAGCCATGCTGTGGCGACGTCCCATGTACAAAATAAAGGAAGATGGGGCACAGATGTTAGCTCAGGGCTAACTTTCCTCAGCAAAAATAGGAGGATTGGCAGATGTTAGCTCAGAGCCAGTCTTCCTCACATACATGCAAAAGCTTGTGAGAGATTTAAGCACAAACTTGTGAGAGTAAGATGAGCACATGCATAGTTGCAGCTCTGCTCTTCATGTGTGGGCTTGAAACCCGGCTTTCAGAGGAGGGTTCAGGCTTTGAGTCTTGTACTGGGTGAGACCTGGAGGAAAGGGAAGAGGAGGTATTCCGTCCCCGTAAAGCTTCCTCTCCATGTCCCAATAATTGAAGAGAAATGCAGCAGTTCAGTGGCGATCCCCAAACCCTCCATGGGGGTGACCAAGCTGGGAAGCTCACCCCCCTCTATGTCAGACAGTGTTCTGCTAACAGTTGGCAATCTGGAGCTGTTGCCTAGGAACCTCCTGGACTGGCAGCAACAGCCAGCAACAGCCAGCTCACCGGCCCAATGTGCTGCTGAATTGTGAGCCTCAGTCCACAGCCACAAAGACAGTGTCTGGATGCACCCAGAGGCTGGACGCCGGGAAGAGTGGGAAGGGGCTGGGTCTCTATTTTTAACTGTTATGACATTTCACTTAACACCATGCACACATAAGCACTTCGTCGATGTCATTCTGAGGAAATACTGGGGTGGAGATTTTGGAGAACAATCACTTTATTAACAGGCATACATAAGCACTCAGGCAAGGTGAGAGGGGACGAGGCCACCCCCAAGGCTTGGGATGAACTGATCACACTGTGTGGAGCCCTTCTTTATTGCCTGTCTTCCCACACACTCACCAGCATATTTGCTGACACCCCACTCACACATCCTCTGCCACACACACCAACACATCCACTACACACCCACTGTCACACACACACACACACATACATACATTTTGAGTCCAGTGAAATCAGGCTAAAATGTGCATCAATATTTGTTCCTGGAGATGGACTTAGAGGGAAAAGATGGATGGATGGTAGGATATTTATATGTATAAAACTTCGTACCAGTTGGTTCTTAGTACAGGTTGCTCCCTAAAATCTACCCAGCCATCTGCTGTGTCTGGAGAAGTTACCCCAAAGCTGAGGGTTCAAAAACAGCACTAGCTGTCCCCTGAGAAGCCTAGTTGAAAGGTTATCTCAGATAGAATCCTCATGATCTTTGAAAGTGGGGTTGATTGCATTGCCAAGCCTACTACTAATCTGAGAAGAGACTTGCTTAGCTTCCAAAAATTCTGTCATCTCTCATTCATTTTTTTTCAGAAATTATTATTGAGTGCTTACTATATGCCAGGTGTTCTGCTAAGCTCTGTGGGTTTCCAGTCACAAGACAGGGTGGTATGATATTGGAAAGAGTTCGGCTTTGGCCGCTCTGCAGCTGGCAGGAGCCTAACGAGTACACACAGAGAAGGGGTCCCAGCCACCAGTCTTCTCATTAGCAACTCACCTGGACATGGTTTTCCCACTTGTAAAATGAAAGGAGTAAGTTAGTTAAGGATCCCCAAACCCTTTCCAATTTGTTTATTTATTTAATTGTTTGTTGTATGATCTTGGCCAATCACCTAACCTCTTGTGTCTCAGTTTCCCCACCCATAATATGGGAGAATAGCAGTACCTCCATCATAGGGCCGTGGGGGGTGATATGAGTTAATGCACATAAAGCCATTAGAACAGTGCCTGGCACATATGTGCGATCAGCTAGCTTCATCCTCACTATTGTTAACACTAATGTCATTCTTTCATTTGACATAGTCTGACTGTTTCTGTGCTAAGCACTCTTCCAGGAGCTGGAGACATTGCAGTAAACAAAACCCAGCCCCTGTCCTTGTCGAGTTTCCAGTCTAGGAGAGACGATAGGCCAGTAAATATATAGCATGACGGACGGTGACTGCAAGTGCTACAGTCGGATCCGTGAGGTAGAGGGTGGAGGTGGCAGACGCGGCGCTAGTTCACACAGCAGAAAAGCTCACGTTTGAACAGAGACTTCGAGAGCTACCCATGCTGATATCTGACAGGAGAGCGGTCTAGGCAGAAGGGCAAAGTCCCTGGGGTAAGAGTGTCCTTGGCATGTTCCCAGAATTGCAAGGAGGCCACCATGGCTGGAGCAGTGTGGTGAGGGGAGAATGGGAGGGGTGAGGACGTGGAGGGTGGGAGTCGGGGGAGGGCCTCGTACTCCATTGTAAGAGCTTCGACTTTTACTCTGAGCAAAACAGGAAACCGTTTGGAGGGTTTTGAGGAGACAGATGATATGATATGACATCTGTTTTGAAAGGATCACTTTGGCTTCTGTGTTGAGTTTAAATCATAAGAAGCAAAAGCAGAAGCAAGATACCCAGGCCAGCGATGAGGATGATGACTTCGATGAGGTGACAGCAGTGGGTTAATTCTAAAACTACTTTATTCTTGCCCTCTGAATACTGACACTTTAAAATATATTATTATTTGCTTCAAAACCCCACAAGTATGCCCATCAGCCTCTCCAGGGGCCTCTGTGGCAAATAACTTGATAAAAACCCAAGGCACATGATTTCTTCCATGGAAGCATTCTAGCGATGAAGTAGAACCAGACGCCCTCAAACCTTGACTGCCACTGGAAACCTGACCTGCCTTGAGTTACTCTTCCCTGGCTGAATGACTCAAGTCTCCAGGGTTATCAGCCTAGTGAATTTCATAAACATTTCATCCACTTGAAAAAATTAAATCAAGAAACAAGGCTATGCATATGAAAGGCTCCAGCTGTCAAGATTTCCAGATGGACCCATTGTTTCATGGATTCTATTGAGATCCCAAATTCTCTCTCCTCATTGCCCCCAGCTCTTATCTAAAAAGTTCAAAGAAATTAATTATTTTTAAGAAATATTTGTTACCGAATGAGATTTTTTAAAGGTATTTCATAAAACAAATTTAAAATGTTTGATTGCTACCTCCAGTGAAGGCTTAAACTGGGTTGTCTATTGAAAGCCAAAATATTACACGCTTCTTAAACCAGCATATTTGTTCTTTTGTGTGATTACTTCCTCTTTTAATTATTTCAGAAATTATTTGTGGAATTACCTACTAAACACCTGGGTTAGGATGGGAATAGAAGGAGACACAGGACAGTTCTCAACATGTGCTGCTGATACGAGAACAATCTCCTTTCCTGACTGCTTGAGTCTCTTTCAGAGTTTAAAGCTTTGTCATATACTTTTTCGTATACTCCAAGAACCATATTAACTGCCTCAAGACAGAATCATACATTTAGCCATAAAATAGAATTCCACGTTATTTGGTAGTTTGTTTCTAGGGTTAAGCTCTGAAGGGTGAAGGTAAATGAAAATTCTTGTATAATTATTATTCCCCTCAAATTGCCCTTGAAGTTTAGTGTACATAGTTCTATGTCTTCAATTCTGTGATGCTTATGCATACCGAAATTCAAGAGCTGCAGCCCAGACTGAGGGAAGAAACAAGGGGATTCTATAGGTAAATCTGGCCTTTCGGTCATTCTGTCTTCAAGAGAATTTTCAGGTGCCTGATATAGAAGAAAGTGAGGATTGGAATTCTGAAGCTCTCCTAATTTCCAGCAGGGTTCACTCCGGTTCATTTTAGTATTCAGCCTCTTTAACTTTAACACATGCTAATGAGTTTGTTTTTTATTGTGAGGATTAAAGGGGAAAGTGCAGGAGTCTTTTATGGGCTAAGTCCTTACCTCACCGCCCAGCCTAAGTGCCCCGTGAGGTGACTGTGCCGCTCCGAACGGTGCTGATTCCTTCACACCGGCCTCCAACCTGCGCATGGTTCACTGTCCCCTGTGTCTTCTCTTCATTAAATCTAAATATGTCAGCCATCGTGCTTTGTAGATACGCATGCAGTTTGTAAGTTGCCAATTGTGTTTTCCTAGGTGAAGTTAAACTGACAGAAATTAAAATGTTTACTGTCTTTTTCATAAGAGTTACTGGCACTGGAGGAAGCAGCATTTGCAAATAGCATCTAGAACCTGCTATTGTCTATGTGGAGTCATTTCCCTTTGCTGTGAAGTCAGGATTCTACATAAGCTGATCAGTTACTACCACTGCAATTTAAAACGAGAGCAAGTGTTATACAAAGTCAATTTTCAAAGAAGCCACAGATTCAAGTCCAGAGTAAAGTGAGATAGACTGAGTCACACCTGACGTAGACGCTTCTGTGACCACGGCCCTTCACTGGAGGACAGGTGTGCTCACACTGGCTTAAAATCACCCCTTGCCTGAGTTGAGAATGGCTGAACCTGGGTGATGGGTATATGGGAATTCATTACACTATCCTCTCTTCTTTGTATAAGTTTGAAATTTCCTATAATAAAAAGTTAAAGAAACATACTTCATGGCCATGTTGCCCCCTTTCTGTAGGAGCTCATGAAAGGCCTGGGGCTCAGGCTCTGCCTTCTAACTGGTCTGCCTTTGAATCCCAGCTCCACCATATAAGGCTGTGTGACCATGGGAGAGCTGGGTAACATCCCTGCCCTTCTGTGTCCTCATCAGTAAAATGGAGATAACAATAGTATCCAAGCCATGGATTGTGGTGACAGTTAAATGAGGCGCTACATGTCGGTGCTTCCTGACATACAGCTCAATTAAAGTTAGCTGCTGCTTCAGAATTTAGGTTAAACTCAGGGCTTACAATCCTCTGCAGGTGTGGTCTGCATAGCAAGTACGCATCAGAGAGGTAGACACACAAGAATTTATTTTCCTGTCTCAAGAAAGGCAATGTGTGTAATAAAAGAGGAGTAGTATAGAAGTTAGTCCAGAAGTATACCTCCTTGCTTCATAGTTCTGTCAAGTCACTTTATCTCCGTGTTAAGTCTTCTAGAGAAGGGGTTTAGGTTTCTTATTCGATATTTGTTATTCAACTCTCTGTGCCATTACACAGAGAGACAAAAGTATTTTGTTTGAAAGTCAAATGGTATGTTAAATGGAATTACTGGGAAAAATTATAGACATTGCCTAAAAGCATGGATTTTAGAGGTCACAGATTCTGGGTCTCAAATCCTGACTTTGTCACTTACAAGCCAAGTGATCTTGGACGAATTAATTAACATTGCTGGTTTTGGTTTTTTCATCTGTAATAAAGGATGTTTGCAAAGATTAAATGAGATGCTAGAGCTCGAGCGCTCAGCACAGTGCCCTCACTAAATCGTTGTTTTTTAAAAAATAATTTCTACCGCTAATACTAATAAATGATAATAAGTCATTATATCCATTTGTTTATTCATCAAATAATTGTTGAGTGTCCACTATGTGCCAGGCATGATTCTAGGACACAGCAGTGAACAACACACATACAGTGCCTTCAATCTTAGATGATAAACAATCAATAGATATGTAACAGATATCAAGTGCTATGAAGATAAAATAAAGCAGAATCAGTGGGATGGAGAGTGTCTGGGAGTGTGTTCACGTGGAGGGTGTAGGGCTGTTTTACATGGGCTCTGGGGAGCCTCCAAACAAGGTGATATTTGAAGCGCAAGTACCAGGAAAGCCGTGTGTTTCTCTGGGGAGGAGCTTTCTAGACAGAAGAGTCAGAAAGCACAGATGCAATGGCCCAGAGGAGGAAATGCACATGTTTAATCATGGGGGTCCGGGGGTGGGCAGTGTGACTGGAACAGAGTGAGCGAGGTGACATGCTGAAGATGAAGGTAGTGGGAGCCCGAATCCTAAGGGTCTGAATGGTCATGGAAAGTTTTGGATTTTCTTATCAATGAGGGAAGAACCACAGGCTAGTTTACATCAAGGAGTGATATGTCCAACTTGGGTTTTAGAAGATTTCATCTGGCAGCTGTGTCAATAATAGACTGCAGGGGGGCAGGGATGGGGAGGGAAGCTTTTGCTATAATCCTGGCAACAGAGGATGGTGGTATAGTGAGAACTGGATAGATCTGGATATATTTTAAAGGAAGAGTAGAGATGATGATGGCTTGGACGTGGCATTGAGGGCTGCTCCTAGTCACACAGCACCTGTGTGTGAATTAGAACAGGAATGTGGGTGGATGTTCCCCTGCGGATGCCTGAGAACCTGATGACGCTTCTGTGTGAGTTAGCAAAAGATGTCCTTTCCTCTCAGCAGACACGTCCCTGTACCAGGGCATGGCAAAGCTTGGGTGGCGGCGAGGCTGTTTTTCAGCACCCACTTGGCCCATTGTCCCAGAGCCCTTGTGCAGGGCTACAGCCCTGGGCTTAAGAGGGAAAATAAAGATGACTCCAAAGTTTTGGGCGTGAGCAACTAGAAGAATCAAGTTGCCATTTACGAAGATGGGGGAGGCTGCAGAGGGAGCAAGATTTAGGAGGGAAATTCAGAATTCGATTTCGGACATGTCAAGCTTGAGATGCATGTTAGACATTCAAGTGGAAATATTGACAGGCAGTTGAATATACAAGTCTAGAAGTAAAGGGAGATGTGGGATATAAGTTTGGGATTCGTCATCATATGAATTATTTATATTACATGTTATATATAACATGTTGAATACATAATATATAATAAACATAATCATTCACAAAAATAATGTAATGAGAAAGTTTTAAAACAACTTCTATTAGTACTTTTAATTTCTATGGGTCCTTTTATATATCTAGTTTTTGTTATTGTTGTTAACACATACGCAAGAAAAAAAATTCAAACGATTTTTAAAAAGATAAGATGAAATAAGTCCATATGCTCGTTACTTTACCTCTCATTTCTAGAGGTAACCACCGTTAACAGTTTCTCTTGTATCCTTCTAAAATTTTCTACGAATATGGAAATATACATAGATATAGATATGTGTATATCTGGATGGATTTGCTTGTTTTTTGTGAGGAAGATCAGCCCTTAGCCAACATCTGCCAATCCTCCTCTTTTTGCTGAGGAAGACCGGCCCCAGGCTAACATCCATGCCCATCTTCCTCCACTTTATATGGGACGCCTGCCACAGCATGGCCTGACAAGCAGTGCGTTGGTGCACGCCCGGGTTCCAAACTGGCGAACCCTGGACCGCTGCAGCGGAGCGCGCACTTAACCACTTGCACCACCGGGCTGGCCCCTGGATAGCTTTGCTTTTTATATAAATGAGGTCATGCTGTATGTACTGTCTGCAACTTAGTTGTTTTTTTTTTAATTTTGATAGATTTTGTCAAATCACTCTCCACAAATGTCACACCAATCTATACTCCACCAACAGAGTGTCCGATTGCTTTTTTCACCGTGTCTTAACTAATCCTGGACATGACCAAACTGAATCACTGCCAATCTGGTAGATGAAAAATAGTATCTTAAAAATGTACATTTTTTTTGGTACGTGGATTGGCCTTTTATATTTCTTTTTCTGTGAGCTGCGTCTTCAAGCCCTTTGCACATTTTCCTAGTTTTCAAAATGGTTTGTAAGAGCTCTTTGTGTGTTAAGGAAATTGGTCTTTTGTCTGTGCTAAGCCTTTTTTCAAATAAATTGTGCCTTGAGTAGTCACTGCAGTAGAAAAACAGAAAGTACAGGAGACATGAGAGGGGACTTCCGCTGCTGAAGACACTGGGACGGGCTTTTCTACTACCTCCTCCTTCACTTCCCTCTCCCCCTCCAACCCCCAGATCCTTAACCCTTTTCCCTTCTTTATTTCAATGTCCTTTGCCTTGTGTGCGAGTATACATTTTTTTATCTTATAGACAATAAAAATTATCTTTCTGGCTTTTAGTTTTGTTTTTTAGTAGTCTGAAGCCTCTTAACCTTAACGTAGCATAGGACCTCAAAATAAGTCTGAACTTGGCACTGGTGCATGGAATTTATTTCCATAATTGTTTCTATGTTTTCATGATAATCAAGGGAAGAAACAAAGGAGAGAGGAGGAAGCGTCCGTGATGTACAAGACATTATGCAAAGCCTGTGCAACTCTATCTCTTTTCATCTTCCCTGGGAGGCCGCTTTTATTGCTCTCATTTTATAGATGAGGAAACAAGCTCTACATGAAATTAAGAAACTCGCCAGGTCACGTGGTTAGAAGTTAGTAAAGTTCTGGGCTGTAACAGAAGGTCTGTATGCCTCTGTTGAATTACAAAGTCCACAATGTTTTTAATAATTTCTTCCTCCAGGTTTAATGGAAAAGTCTCCTGAAAAAATATTCTGATTATGTCAATATGTTTAAGGCTGAACTGACAGATATAAGAATATATTAATTCATTCAGCTACTAGTCTGTATTATATTATTTGATCAATAGATATAAATATAAGAATACATTAATACATTTAGTCACTTATGTGTTAATTATAATTAGTGGAGCAAATTATTTGACAAAAGAGAAAGAACATGAAAAAATTTATATGTAACTGTGAGGTTTATGCATTATAATTTTTCAGTTTAACTCTCTGGTTTGCCTGTGTTTCACTAATTATCCCAAGCATCTTTGTGATGTGCTCTTTGGAGTGGTCTCCATCTGTGACCTTGGAAGCTTAGCCCCTCATGTGGATTGTTGTGGAATTGGAGGTGAGCGAGCCTTTGGTCATTGGTTTCTTCTCTGCAGGCCTACAACGGGCACCATCAAGCCTTGGAGGTCCTTCTGCAGTCACTGGTAGACCTGGATATCAGGGACGAGAAAGGCCGCACTGCTCTGGATCTGGCTGCCTTTAAGGGACACACAGAATGTGTGGAAGCACTTATCAATCAAGGTGCATCCATCTTTGTGAAGGACAATGTAACCAAAAGAACCCCACTTCATGCCTCAGGTAGGTCTTGTCAAGAGTCTGGTTACCCTAGTTTTGTGGCCTAATTATAAGTTTGAGTAGAAGGATGGCAGCATCGTCTTCATCCCAGTTTTTAAAATATCAGTTTTCTTTCTTTATCAGGTATACCCACACTCTTCCAAAATGCTTTTGGCCTACTATCCACTTGGAGACGATGGGTGTTCTCCGATCTTCTTCTTTAAAGATTTTGTTTTTTTAGAGCAGTTTTAGGTTCACAGCAAAATTGAGAGGAAAGTACAAAGATTTCCCATATACTCTCTGTCCCCCACACATGGATAGCCTCCCCCTTTATCAACATCCCTCACCAGAATGGTACATTTATTACAAGCAATGAACCTGCATTGGCACATCATATTCACCCAAAGTACATAGTTTACATTAGGGTTCACTCTCGGTGTTATACATTCTGTGGGTTTGGACAAATGTAGAATGACATGTGTCCATCATTATAGTATCACATAGCGTATATTCACTGCCCTAAAAATCCACTGTGCTGCATCTGGCCTTCTTAACTCAGAATAGAGTTCAGAACGTTTGACCAAAGGCTATGACAAAGGTTTCTGAAAAAAGGCCAAGATGTAATGTGATCCTCAGATAAGTCACATAGAACAAAATCATACAGCATTTTAAAGCATAAAATTAATGATATTTCAGGGCTATTTCATAAAAGGAGTCATCAGGCAGCCATCTCATCAGTACATCATTCTGCCAGCCTAAATGATGCTTTTTAGCTTTTGACTAGCTTGATTCTTGATGCATCAGGTGCAAAGATAGAGACTCTTAAAAAAAGTGCATGTATGTATCATAATGTAAGTAATTGCCTTTTCTGGGATTTTTCTCCAATGCACATGAAATAAATCTGTGTCAAGACAGTTCTAGACATATACACAGATATAGAGGTAATGTGGAAGAGTCCCTAGCTCTGCTAAGGCGTAAATACCTTTGGGGTCAGGAAATTCAATGATATCAACCTTTGATCAGGATAGTAGCTAATGTCTTATACTGTCTTACACTGTGAAATAATGGGTGTATTGAGGAAGGAAATGAGTGAAGATAGTTTTTCAAAAGACTTTATAATTCTTGCTACTTGGGAAAATTTTCTCAGAATGCTTGACCTTGTGGAAGTATTTCCATGCACATCCCTGAATTTCCAAACCACTGAAGAAAAACAATATGGAAATTGAAAGAAACATGGTATTGCTTAATTATCTGGAAATGATTGTCCCTGGGAAAAACTTTAGCCGTGAGGTCAGCAATGGTTGGTGTGGTTAAATTATAAATTCTTATTTCCCGTCACATTTAACCATTTTGCTTCCTAGACATGCTTGGTATTATTATAAAGTTCAAATTTAGTTCTCCTTTTTAAAGATTGGTTGCCTATTATTACGGCAAGCATCCTGCTTTAGTTATCATGTACTTCCTGACAATTACAAAGGGCCTATCTGATTGTGGGAAATAGCCCTTGTGAACAGGTGAACAACGAAGAATCATTGTCACTCATTGACTGTGACATAGGTTGTGGTCCAATGGAGCCCCCTAGTGGTCAAGATGACTCACTCCTTTTGGATTTCCCTCCTGTCGTTCATTAAAGACGCAGGCTCATTGGACTCTTCTCCACAAAATGTCTGCTGTGCAGCTTCAGCCTGTTTGGAGGATCTGTTTATCCAGACTCTTTACCAACTCACTTCAGAGGCCATTTTTTTTGTTTCAAATCCTGTGAGGAGCCGGAGCCAGGATGGATATTAGAGGTTTTGGCGCAGATAGTTGCAATGAGAGTTGTGGTCTTGGAGCAGCATGAAAAATGGCTGTCACTCATAGCGAGGGAGAGGCTGAGCTGAGTCTGAGGCGAAGCTGATTCCGCGGGGCACAGCTAAGGGAGATGTTAGCATCTTTTTGCTAGAAGGCAATTGGGGAAAATGTAATGTGTGGGAAGCCGATGAAAATTCTAGTTTGGCTATACTTTTACAATAAGGGGGAATTATCTTTACCTGAGGGCTATTAGCTAAGTTCAAAAAGCTACTGTACATGCCCCCCCCCCGAGCCCCCCCCCAAAAAGCGCTACTGTAGAAATTGGTTTGCTCTCCAGCATACTGGGTGAGTGAGATGAACTTAGATGATTTTTTTCCTTTTTCTGTTTAGCCAAAAATCAAACTATTGAACTAACTAAACTATTGAACTATTAACTAACTATTGAAATATTAACTAAAAATCAAACTTGGAACTATTATGATTATGAGTATTTAAAGAATATTAAATTAATATAGAAAGAGGAATCAATCAAAATACACTGTACCTCCGGGTTCATGAACCCATCGCCTGTAGTATTTAGCTGTCAGTCCTCTGCTATCGTTTGCTTTTAAGCATACGTTAAACTCCTTGCATATTTCACCAGTGGTAACAGATTTAATGTAATTTTTAAAACAAAACAACAGCAACAACAATACATTGTACTCCAGTCCACAAAATTTCCTCCTGAGATAGGTAAATGGAATGTTGCTGAGAATGGGCTGAATGCAATGGTCTACAAAATGTGGGCATTATCCCTGTAGTTAATTTGAGTGGTGTCTATGAATGTGAGCTGATTCTAATATGTATTGTCCCTAAAAAACGTCGTTAAATTAGCATTCTCTCATGACTGGCGCGCAATGAAAAGGACTGTAAAATGCAGCTCTTAGAAGAGCCTTTATCAATCTAAGGTAGCGGCCTCTCTTCCCTTCTCCCTCCACGTCCGCAGCGAGGTAAATGCAATGTATTTCATGGTGTTCTCATTGTTCAGAGAGGAGAGAAGGTCACGTTTGGAATTTTAAACGCATTTGTTCTCATCCAGCTCCCTGAGTGGAAAGCCATGTCGTATGTAAGGCTGTGGGTTCCATTCAGTAAGCTAAAGTACTTTAGTCTGGGGAATTGTCATTCTAGGAGGTTTGCTTCCCAGCCCCCGCGGTACCGCAACCTACAAGAAGCACCGTGCCTGGTGCGCACAAGGCCCACGCGTGTGGTCCAGCCCAGTGGGTCAAGGCCAGCCCGGCGTTGGGGCCGCGTTTCCTGCCCATGGCCGGCCCCCACTGGGCCGCTGCGGGAGGAGGGACGGGGTGAGGGCCTGGGAAGGGGCGAGGAGGGCGCCCAGTCAGAGCTCAGCAGGCGAGAGGAGGGGACGGAGGAGAGGGAAGGTGGGAGGCCACTGGAGTGCCGCCCTTAGCAGGCTGGAGACCCGGGAAGGCAGAGCAAGCAGGGCTGTGGTTCGAGGAACTCCGAGACCCAGTCCTCCAGTCGCAGGGGCTCTCTGGGAGTCTCCTGAGAGTGCCAGTCAGTCGATGAGCAGTGAGCCCGCGGCTGAGGACACCTTTCCGGCTTGGGGTTTTGCTTTAAGTCACCACTAATCAATCAGAACTATTGCTGGAATGTCTACCTCAGAATGTAAAATGACCAGGAAAAGAGGCAAAACCTGTTCTCTCTTCCTTCCCTCCTCTCCTCTCCTCCCCTCTCCTCCCCTCTCCTCCCTCCTCCTCCCATCCCACTCCTGCTCCCCTCTTGCCCCTCCTCTCCTTTTCCTCCCCCTTCTTCCTCCCTTATAAAAAGGGCTGGAGGCAGGCTGGACATGGGATGGTTGTATAGAACAGGGGACTCGCTTAGAGGAACAGAAAGGGTAACTGGAAAGTGGGGAGAGATTCTCAGCCCCATCCAAGGAGATATGAAAGGATGTCACGTTTAAGAAAAAAACCCTCGATACAGGAACCAGAAAAAGGTTGGGTGAGGACCAAAGTGCCCTGATAGGAAGAAAGGGGTGGATGGATTAGTGACATAAACATTGGAGCGGGCTGTGCCCAGCAGCTGGAAACCTGCGGACATCCGTCAGCAACAACTGAAAACCACTGATTTGAAGTCCAGGTAAATCTCACTTTGGAGGGGTGTGAGTGCTGTTGGTCTGTTAAAAGAATGTCCATTATTTTCCTTTTCAGTAATTAATGGTCACACACTGTGTTTGCGGCTATTACTAGAAATCGCAGACAACCCGGAAGTGGTTGACTTGAAGGATGCCAAAGGGCAGTAAGTGTTCTTGCGCTTGGCCTGGGGTTCACATTCAGTCACAACAAGTGGCTGGTTAATTTGTTAAACAGCTGGGAGGGCTGACTGCTGAATTCTAGGTGGGCTGTATACACATTTGGGTGAAATTCATGGATGAGGGCCCTAGAATAATGAGGTGGCTTTGTGCTAGAGTATATATCCAAGAAAAGTTTGTGGGGGTGTGTGGGGGTGTGTGTATCTTAATGAAAAAGAGCCAGATTTTTATGTCTGTGGCCATGTGTCCTGGCCTTTTTTTTTTTTTAATATTCTCTCCTTCGTCTCTTCTTTCTATCCATTTTTACCCTCTTCTGGAACTGCTGCCTTCCTATTTTTTAAAATAATAATGGCAATAGGACAGACCTCAAGAAGTTATCTCTATCATAAAAATCCTTCATATTTTTATCCTTCCTGAGTCTGTTTCTCCAAAGTATTTTCCACCTGTTAGCCCATTCCCCACCCAGTCTTCTCCTACAGATAGGAAATGCAGAGCAAAAAGGCCCCCATGACTCATCCCAGGAAGATGAGTTAGTGTCGAGTCAGAGCTAGAACCTCACCTCCTGGGCCCCAGCACCCTCTGTTCTTTCCTCTAGACTTGTTGGACTTTTCTTAAGGCAATGAGGCTTTGTTCAAATGAAATCCAGAGCAGAAGTCCAACATAGAAAACTAAGGAAGTAGAGCTGCTCTGATAGAAGCAAGAGGGTCTCCTCCATACACACACTCCCTACTCAATTGATATTTAGTAAATGCTACATAGTTTTGAGGATGATGGGATTAACATGACCATTCTGAGAAGGAACCTTCCCCTGCCCCACCTATATTGATCATTCCACTGACACCGTTCCAGGTGGCCGTTAGAGACCAGAGCAGATAGCTTGTTCCATGCAGCATCTAGCCATCTGGGGACACTCAGAAAATGTTAAGCAATTGTTAAGAGGAGAGAGAGAGAGGGGTGTCCTCCCACTGGAAGCGATGAGTATTTTTTTTAATCTTCTTTTTAAAAGCCTAATTTATCTCTTTCCCTAGAACCCCACTGATGCTTGCAGTAGCATATGGACACATTGACGCCGTCTCATTGTTACTTGAAAAGGAAGCAAATGTAGATGCTGTTGACATCATGGGCTGCACAGCTCTACACAGAGGGGTATGTACACCTTCCTCAGCTTTAATCAAGTAATTTTGTAGTGAGCTTGTCTCCTCTTTATTTCCCCATATGAATTTTTAGTAAAAAGATTGATTCTTAAGATAACCAATTAACTTCAGTCAGTGAAAAAGAAATTACAAAATCTTTTGCAAAGGTAAAATAATGGCAGGTACACTTAGGTCCTACTCTTGCGATTTCATGTTAGATTGTGATCATAGATATATGAACTCCTACTGTTGGTAGAATTGGTTCTGCTTTCTGATTACAATATACATGGCCATCATAGAAAACTTGCAAATTTTTTTTTTTTAAATTTTTGTGAGGAAGATCAGCCCTGAGCTAACATCCATGCCAATCTTCCTCTTTTTGCTGAGGAAGACTGGCCCTGGGCTAACATCTGTGCCTGTCTTCCTTCACTTTATATGGGACGCTGCCACAGCGTGGCCTGATAAGCGGTGCGTCAGTGCGCACCCGGGATCCGAACCTGGGCTGCCAGCAGCAGAGCATGAGCGCTTAACCGCTATGCCGTGGGGCCGGCCCCGAAATATTTTTTAAAAGCACAGAGAAGAAAGTCACAATCACCAGTAATCCTACCTCCTGGAGATAACTACTTTTTGGTATATGTATCACCAATCTTTTTTTTTTTTTCTGTATATAAATTTGTTTTAAATTTTAAAAAGAGAAAATACTGAAGATGCTATTTGGAACCTGCTTTTTTTCCTCTTAGTGTATCAAGGACCTTTTTCCACATCACTAAATAGTTTTCTGCCCCTTCATTTTTCAGTGCTCCGTTGTGTGCAGGCGTCACTGTTTCCTCCAGTGGTTGCCTAGTTTTGAGTAACCATGTATTTCTGATTGCTCTTTATTACAAATGTTGGCCCATATATTTCCTGCTGAAATATATATCCTGTGGATAATTCTTCTGTACACGTCTGCTGAACTGTTTTTTAAAGTATGTCAAATAAACTAAATGAAACAAAAGCAGAAATCAAAAAATTGCTATTTGGGGGTGGTGCTGATCCCCGTGATCGATGAAAAGAAGAGGAACTGGAAGTGGTCAGTGTCATAAGCACAGTTCTTGTTTCTCGGGTCCTTCCCGTGGGCCGTGTGACAGGCTGGGAGCCTTCACAGGTCTCATCTCTTAGTCCCCGCATCACCCTGTGAAGTCAGTATTGCCATTCCCATTCACAGGTGAATAAAATGTAGCACACACAGGCAAATTGACGTGTCCAAGTTTTATAAGGGGGAACCAGGATTTCACTCCCGTCTTCATGATTCTAAAGCTGATGTTTTCCACCATATCCTGATACCTTTCATGGTTATGTTTGGAGAGTCAAGAGATGTTTCCAGAATGCTGATATTCACAGACTTTTCTGTTATGGATCTTGCTGGGGTTGTCCTGCCCCTCTCCTCTGAAGTGGGGCAGAATCAACTTCCCTTAAAACCCAGGCATACGTCCACTTTGAACCCAGCCTCGCTCAACCAACTGCTTCGCTTCCTGAGTCTTCTGCCCTTCTGAGATTTGTTTTGTGTTTTTAATTGCAATGCGTCAGATTATGACGGGACACGAGGAATGTGTGCAAATGCTGCTGGAACAAGAAGTGTCGATTCTCTGTAAAGATTTCAGAGGGAGGACACCCTTGCACTATGCGGCTGCTCGTGGCCATGCCACATGGCTGAGTGAGCTGCTCCCGATGGCACTTTCCGGGGAGGACTGTTCTTTCAAAGATAACCAAGGCTACACGCCGCTACACTGGGCTTGTTACAATGGTGAGTTGATTGTCATTTGGCCGATTCCGGTAGACTTCCTCCCCCAGCACCACTGAGATCTCAGTGGAGGTGAGAATACAGCATATGCTATAAACCACGGTTTCCAATCTTTCTGCATTTAAGACATTTCTTTTTTTTTTCCTAATATTTTCCATCATTAAGGCTACCATGATGCCTTAATGGAGTAAAAATTCACTTTCTCCCTTTTTGTTAATCAGTAACGTATAAGTCCTAACCAGAATTTCTAATGAACTGAAATTACCAGTTTTAATCAGAGTTTCTGATCTACATGAGATCACCAGGGATCCTGCAAAGAATTAAAATAATGCAGCTAAAAACAAAAAGAATGTGATGTAATGACCTTTCATCATCGACTACTAGTAGATGCATGATCTGTCTTGGCATTTCTTTTTCACATCTTGTATCTCCGATTTATTTTGTTGCATTTCTTGTTTGGGAGATTTAAAAATTTTTATTTCACTTATTTAAGTGAAAAAGAAATGCATGCTAATTGTAACATTTCAAAAATACTGAAGTGTCTAAAGTAAAATTGTTTCTGTTTCCAAACTCACTTTCTAATGTAATTTGGTGTGTTCTTTCATAATTTTCCCCTTGAGAATATAATTAAATACAAATGTATGTGCATGTAAATTTTTAAACTAGAATCGTGTAACAAACATAATTCTATAACTTTCTTTTTTTGTTATTGTTTACTTAACATTCTATTGCAGATACCTTACAAGTCAATATGTATCAATACAGATAGATTTTTTTAACAGTTGTGTTATTTCATAGCAGATAGATAGATGGATATAGACGTGTGTATGTATCAGAATTTGTTATTGACTCAACCAGATGCCTGTTGATGGACATTTAGATTGTTTTCAGGTGTTTTTCCTAATACAAACAACGTTGCAGTGTGAGTTCATATTATGTGTCAGATAAGTTTCCAGAAGTGAAATTATTGAAAAAGAGGGAGTGTATATTTTAAATTTTTCATAAGTTATACCATATTACTTTGCAAAAAAGAATATTATAATTTATGACTCGCCCAAACATTTGTATAAAACTTACTATTTTCCCAAGCCTTTGCCTGCCCAGGGTGATATCTTTTTTTTTAATTTTTGTCAATTTGAAGGGCAAAAAAAGGGTATTTCATTATTTTAATTTGTGTTTCCCTATCTAATAGTGTATTTCTTTAGATATTTGCATTTCCTCTTCTGGAAGTTACCTTTTCCATGTATTGCTCAGTCTTTTTCTATTGAGTTATCTTTTCTCATACGTTTGTTGGAGCACCTTGTCTTAGAGATATGAATCCTCTGTGTGTTATGTGTGTTGCAAATGTTCTCTCTCAGTCTACCATCTATCTTTGTTCCTTGTTTATGATGCCTGAACTTCTGAACTTTTATGTAGTTGAATCTGTCAGATTTTTTTTTTTCTTTTTGGTGAGGAAGATTGGCCCTGAGCTAACATCTATTGCCAATCCTCCTCTTTTTGCTGAGGAAGATTGGCCCTGGGCTAACATCTGTGCCCATCTTCCTCTACTTTATATGTGGGATGCCTGCCACAGCATGGCTTGATGAGCAGTGCATAGGTCTGCACCTGGGATCTGAACCTGTGAACCCCAAGCCACCGAAGCGGAGCGTGCGCACTTAACCACTACGCCACTGGGCTGGCCCCTCAGATTTTTTTTATGTACCTAGGTTTCCGGTCTTGTTTAAGAAGGTCTCCTACACTGAAGATTATATGGATATTTTCCTATATATTTCTTACCCTGCTTCTATAACTTTGTTTTTCTATTTTCAGTTCTTCTATTAAAATTTCCACTGAGAAACTATGATTATTAGGTCCCGAAGGTTGTTTTGGTGCTCTAACGATAGTGATTTAATACCTTTCATTACGTTTTCATTACAGTCCTCATTTTTTCATTGGTTCTGACCTCAATAAGAGCCAAATTTTCTACTTTTTCCATTAGTTTAACTCCCTGCATGTCACTGGGAGATTGTAATTGTTTTTACGTACTAATAGATGAGGGCTCTCTAACCCCTACCTGGATCAATCTGTGAGATCTCTCTGGCACTGGAAAACCTACAGGAAGGAAAGACACACTGAGGGCATCGATTATAATGGCAGGCGGCAAACCCCCCACAGACCATGTCCTCTCCCCCGGAGTGGGGTGGGGTGGGATGGGGATGGCAGTCTCTCTGTTCTTAGGCCTCTCCAGGTGCAAGCAGGGGAGGAGCAGTCCTCTCCTAAGCAGTTCGCCCTTCCAGTGCCGTCTGCTTGCAGGTCCGAGGTTCAAACTCCCATGTTCCTGGAATCCCCTTCACTGAGCACTTTGAAATATTAAAAGTAGCTCAAGGATCCCCAGTCCTACCTACGCAGACCCTTAGGCTGAGATTCATAGTCTCCAAGAAATGGTACGTGCAGGTGCCGCCCTAAGCTAGGTCCTTTGCGGGATTCGTACTGATAGAGGGGCTGAGTGTCGGGGACTTTTTGAGTGAGGGTTGGGTGTAGCTGGAAAGCTAAACAGTATAACTTGCGTTAAGTTAGGGGATTTTTATGTTCATTGCTTCATATGGTTCTTAATCCTCCTAAAGGCAGCTTCATCTTTTCTCTTTCTAGGGGCAATAAAGGTTTTATTTGTATTTTAATACTTAAAATTGTCCAATCGGCATCATTCTGAGGCAGATCATAAGGGAACTCTAACTAATTTAGCGCTGAGTTCAGCCAGGAAGAGGCCCCAGGACAGCAATCTGTATTCCAAAGCCAGAGAGCTTTGTCTTCTTGCCTTAACAATGGTACATCGCTTCACGAACCACGTTTAGATCCCTTACCAAGTGAAGCTGCCGTCATCCTGTGTCATAGGCAGGGCAGGCATTCCTAATCTGATTTTTTACATATGGGAAACTGAGGCTCACAGATCCCAAGTGAGTTGCCTAAGATCGCATACAAGTAAGCTTACAGAGCTGGGACCTTACTTAACTCAATTTCAGTTGATTTGGAAACTACTTGTCATTTTGTTGAAAATAATTCCTCACCTTCATTCATCTACTTATTAAAAATATAATTATTGGGCACATACTATTTGCCACAAACTGTTCTTGGTGCCATTTTAAAGACTTATATAGTATTTTAAAGTGCATAACTTCACCTGCATTATCTCAAATACTATTTTATATCAATCACATCTTCTCCCTTTCACTAGGGTGTGTAACTGTAAGTGAACCTATTCATATGGGTGAAAGAGAAATTTCCTATTGTAAATTGGACAAACTGAAACCTGTGTCAGCATCTATCCATCAAGAGCTGAGAGTATCATAGAATCTATTCTGCTTGCAAATGAGGTCTCTTTTCTATCTCTTTCTTTCCATCAGACCATCTGGCCTTCACTGTTTTATTTGTTCATTATATTTCAGAACACCTGTGAGCATGGTTAATAACATTTTGGCATTTTGTAAACTTTATTCCATGGAGAATGCACATTTAACCAATTCAGGAAAATTCATAAGCCAGAATTTCTTCAACGTGATGAAAAAAATAGATTGCGTTGAACAAAATTTCTCTCTCGGACACTCTCTGAATTCTTTTGATTCCTTGCAGGTAATGAAAACTGTATAGAGGTACTTTTGGAACAAAAATGTTTTCGTGAATTTGTCGGTAATCCCTTTACTCCACTGCACTGTGCAATGTAAGTAGAAATCCTGAAAGTTAATGGTGCCGCTTTAATTCTTTTAACTATGCATAGAAAAATTGCCTTTCAGGGAAGGAAAAGCTGTTAGATTATAGATAAGGCCAATATATTCCATTTTGCTGCTGAAGGCCAATAGGTCTGATAGCAAATTGTGGGCCCTTTCCAGAAGCTTTCTGTGGAATGCCATGGTTCCAAGGCGGCTCACATACCACCTTAGGGAAACTACATGAAGGGGTGGACTGAGAGGCGTATTACACACCGTATGAAAAGCTCTTCAGATGGACCTCACATTTGTCTGCCAAATTCTAAAAATCAGTTGGGGTTTACAACAATATGCTTATGGATGATTAGAAAGACATTTTATACCAGGAAGACTTTTCATATTTTATAATTCTCCATTCTTCATGTGTTGTAAGTTCTTTTTTGGTAAATGTAATTTTTTCTCCAATCTCATAGTGTGAGCCGTCGTTCAGAGAGTACGGTGACTTTAAGTCAGACTTCCATGGTCAGTCTGGGGGCCCTAGACTTGGGAGAGCTTTGTCTTTGCATTGTCTCTGGGCTTCACTTGAAGCTGAGTCGTTTGACTAGAAAGATATTGGAGGCATAAAGTGGATCAATAAAGAAGGGGTAAGGGATAAGGAGTAGGAGTGATTTTAAATCTGAAGGAACCATGTCTTTTTCACTGTGGTATCCCCAAAACACCTAGCATGATGCCTTCTATAAGTGGATGCAGTCAACTCCTTCCTGGATGTAGGGGTTCTGAAGAAATGCTGGAGGTTACAGAGTGTGTGCCATTAGACCTGTTAAAATGATTAAAGAAGACAATTTAGGTGATACAAACAAACTTTAACACTTAATGAAGCAGGTAGTCTTCACTCTCAAGAGTTCAGAGAACTGCAAAGTGGGGCAGAAGGCGGGAAGCTTTTCTAGGATAAAGAATAGGGAACAAGGAAGAGAAAGAATAAAAATATCTGATTGGCTGGGGTTACGTATCTGGTGTTACTTGAGGTATCATAGGAACGGGGCGATCAGCTGTGTAACTTGGTGATCATAGCTTGATTACATAGATGGTCTGACTTCTGGACAGATGGAACCTTTACAAAAACATGAAGCTAAAAGTTAAGTTTCATTTTGCTGACATGGTTTCCCAGGATCAGTGGTGCCCAGCTTACCAAGGAAAGGTTAATGTGAGATCAGTTTGACAATTCCTCCTTTTTGATCAACCTCTGGTCAAGCAACGATGGTATTCCAAGTTACTCTCAGTTACCATTGCCTCTTCAGGTCTCAGTATATATTTCACAGGAGATGATGTCAAGTTCATTGTTCCATTTGGAGGGAGACCATTGTTGGCTGGCTAGTGGCTGTATACACACATTTAAAACCCTTGAGAGAATGCAACGGACCAGGGAGATTATTATTATTAATAGTAAAAGTATTCCTGAGGTTTTCAGGATCCTCCTGAGCCAGGGTTCTCATGAACCAAACCAGCTAGAATCAAGTAAGTCAAGAAATGACCCTGAAGAAGGGGATACTTCTTTAAGCCAGTTGGCCTGTTGATGTATTTCATATACCTGTGTCTCCACTTCCCCAGAAGTGTTTATCCAGCGAGCTTGTTGCAGAGAAACTGAGACATTGGAAATCAGAGACAAGTTTGTGATGGGCAGAACTACAGGATCACCAGCATTGTAGCAAGTCCAACAGTAGGTTGGAGGATGGATTACCCTCCTTTGCAATGGCCTAGGACATTTGAACAGGTCAGGGCAAGGCAAAAGGTAAACAAAAGAATCATAAAGAGCTTCATGGTGTAAGAATTAGGAAGAGGATGGCCAGAGAGGGAAAGAGGAAAGGAAAGAAACATTCTTGATCCGACATCTTGGGAGGAAGTGGTCTACTTCGATGTCAGCTACTTCTCTTCCTAGTGGATTTGATTTTGAGGTCTCTGGCATTTGCACAGACTAGATGTTAGGTGGAGCCTTCTACAGTTGTGAAATGTGCACCCAAGGTTCGACACCTTGTAATTTGACAACAGTATCAGTGGTCAAGAGTACTTGGAAGGGTCCTTTCCATGAATCTCCACTTTTACAAAAGCATCAGGGTAAAACAATAACTGTCTGCAAGTGACAAAAGACTTAAAAATGCCCGTGGTTAAAGATCTGATGAGAGTTCATTATAATTGGATTGACAAAGGACTTTGGTTATTTCTGAGACACACAACATTTAAGACGATAACTGGAACTATGACTGATAACATTATACCAGGATATATCAGTTTTTTAGGAATTTTATGCAATTTCTGGAACACATATTAGTAACATATACCCATATAAATTTAACTTAGGAAAGTTAAACATCACTTCTTATTTGATGTTTCCTATGTAACTTAACATATCAAATAAGCCTAATTAGTTTAATATTTTTCTTTTTATAAGGAAAGAGAACAAATCTTTTGAGATGTTCCAGGGGCCCTTTGGAAAATCCCAAAGTTACTTCAAGGTCAAAAAGACTTCATTTAGAATTTGATTTTTGGGAATTGTGTCAAAAAATCAGAAGGTTTTAAAACACTTGATCAAGTAGGATCATAGGTCACTGTGAAACAATACTTAGTTATCCATTTAACTAAAGTGACAATTAAAGATTAAAGATTAAAAACAACAATAGGGCTGGCCCAGTGGCATAGTGGTTAAGTTCGTGCATTCCACTTTGACAGCCTGGAGTTCCCAGGTTTGAATCCCAGGCGTGGACCTACACACCGCTCATCAAACCATGCTGTGGTTGCATCCCACATACAAAATAGAGGAAGATGGGCACAGATGTTAGCTCAGGCTAATCTTCCTCAACAAACAACAACAACAAAAAACCCTTAGCTCTTTTAATGTTGAGAGGACTGGGTTTTCTTAAGTAATCAAAGATCTGATAAAGACAGCGTGAAGCACAGTAAATTGTTTTGGTAAGACACAAAATGTTTGCTTTCCAGGCAGATTAGTTAAAAGGTAAAGAAAAACCTTTGTTTACAATTTCTTATTAAGAGCAGACCAATAATCTAAAAAAACCTTTGTCCTTTTAACAAAGAGAAAATCAAATTTTAATTTTGCACTAGTGTGCTTTTCATATTAAAACTCATTTTTTAAAAACTTAAATAAATCCATTCCAATCTTAGCCAGCTTGACCAAACGTAAAATTCCTTTCCCAAGATTCTTTTTCCACAGACCTTCTACAGCTTTTTTGTATCTGTCAGATTTTATCCTATTTTTTTCCTTCTCTTTCTCATTCTGGAATAACCAGTCATTTTACTTTAGTATGAAATTACTTTCTGTTCTCCCTTAACAAAAAAAAGAACATTAAACAAAATACGTGTCCTTCCTACCTTTTCTTATCCAAAAAATACATTCTACTTTCCTTACCTAGTTTTCATACACAGTTGTTTTCTTTCACACTTATTATTTCTAAGTAGTTTTAATTGATTAGAATTCTTAACCTTTAGAATCCTTAATTCCTAGTGAAAACTAAGAAGTAAGCAATTGTGGACTGTCTGTTACACTAGCATTCTATGGATTGGCAAATTTATAAATACATTTCATAATTTCTAGAAGTATATTCTTCCTCATAGTGAATTTTTCAGTGTGGCACAAAACGTGTTTACTAATAGACCCAAATATATTTAGCTCCTCTGTAAAAGGAAAACAAAAATAGATAAACTATGTTCAGTAATTAATGTTTCAGTATTTTATCTTATTTGGAAATGATCTAGATATTCAATGAATATTCATCATTTAACTTATCTCAGTATAACTTTAAGGTTTCAAGTTACCAAAAACATTTTGGAAACTATTTTTAAGTAAACATACCATAAAGTGTAATTATTGTTGGAAAGTTTATAAAGTTTATAAACCTTTGTCTTACATCTATTTAATTTACTTATTCTTAACAATTATGTTTAGATTGCTCATGAAAATTTCATGAGATATTAAACAGCTAACCATCATCTTGTTATATTTCTTGCTGACAAATTGTGTAACAGAGATAACATGAGCTTATTTGACTTTTAGTAAACCTTGGTAGAATAAAAGTTGTATGTTAGCATTATGTTTAATGCTAATAATTCTGAAGATATGCCTGTTTTAATTAAACCAACAAACTTAAAATTAATTCCTCTTTACCAAATATTAACCTAGATCACGTGAACTTGAAAAACATTTGGGTTACTTTCCATATTTCTGAGAGTGCACTTGTGTTATATAAATGCCTAATTTTCTTTAACCCAATTAAATAGAGCTCTTTACAAATTAATTTTGTCAATACCATCCAGAGGTAGAAAAAAAATCACAGATAACATACGTACATAGACATAGATAAACATACAGACAGACACAAAAGGAGATCTTATAGCTTTTAAAATTTTAGGCATGAGACAGGTATGATAATGCAGAACTCACTAGTTTATAAAAGAACAGTTGGATCCAAATTGTGTTTTTGGTAAATGAAATAAGTTAAGGTTACCAGCTCAGATGGCTTAAACTTTTTACTAATATTTGGGGAGAAGACTTCAGATTTTTCATTCCTCTAGATTCCAAATAGCCTTTTTTTTTTTTCTTTTTTTTCTTCCTTCTGATAAGCTTTATCTCCCTGAAGTTTGCATTTCAAAGAGATGGTGCTCACTTGCTGGAGAGCATGGATAGAACATTTACAGCTCAAAGGCACAGGGAAAGAAGCCAAGTTTCTCCAAGAAGGACTTTTGTTTCCTAAGTCCAGAATTTTTACAATACCTATAAGTCTTTTGAGACGAATAGGAGAGGTTTGGGGGTTGGTAAAAGGGATAGGTGGGCTTTTTACGTTCTTGAAAGACTTGGGTTTTAAGACAAGGACAGTTGATTCCAATTCCTCAAGGAAAGGAGTTGACCCACCTATCCAACTACATTATCTTCAGTTTGCTTCTTTATATAAAGGAGAAGATCTTCCTTCAACTAAGATAGAAATCATAGACAGATGCCTAAGTTCTAGACTTAGAGCTGTTTGTCTTTGAATGTCCCCTCCACCACCACCACCCCAGGTGTGTAGTTTCATTTTAGCTTAGAGGAAAAGGCCTAAAAAAAGTTCCTATCAGGCTCTGAATATCAGCTTCCAATTTGGCCAACTTCTGACCATAGAGCTACTTAAAAAAACAAACAAAAAAAAAGCCTGTCACATATCTTGTCAAGTTTCAGCTGGGACAAACAGTAAATATTTCTGGCAGTTTTGAACAATCCCATGGATGCAAGAGGCATCCCCAAAGATGGTGCAAAAGATACTACCCTCCCAAGATCCAGAGCCACTCCCAAATATAGCCTTATATATATATAAGGGCTTAGGACAAATAAGAAGGCTATAGCTGTCCCTGGAAGAGAAAAGGATCACTAACTGATGGGAACCTCAAAACCAAATTCACGAGAGTCTGATATTTGGAAAGGAAGGGACAACATGAAATTTACCTTTCGCTCTCCACTGGGCACTACAGAGATCTGGGGGAGCTGACTGTGGTAAGAATTCTCACCCTTTGCCAGCTTCTGCCAGTTTTGCCAGGATCTCATCTGCAGGCTCCTGAGCAAGTGGGGTTTAAAGTAGAGTGTAGCCCTGGTATCTATCAGAATTTGGCAAGATTTTTCCGTTAATTTTCATTTTAGTTTCCCCTGGGCTGTTTAAAGGAATAACTAGTATCAGTTTACTGGAGAACACCTTGGAGTCCTGTCAATCCTGGGAGGGGCCATTATGGAGGCCCTCCTTTGAGGGTATTTATGGGGCATTTGAGTTGCTACCAAAGGATTTGCACAAAACCTTCTAGGACAATCTTTTTTCCAGTGTCCCAGTTGATTGCAAATGAGACACCAATTTCTGGGCCATTGTTCTGTTGATGATGCAACAGGGGAGGCCCAGGTGTTGTTTAGGTTTCTGGCCTTGGAGCTGTTGCAGCTGTACTATGGACTATGAGTACTCAGGTAAAAGAGGATGGAGGGAGTCACATCAGTTTTATAGTCTTCTGTTTTAGATACCTCTTGTGTCTTTAATTTTTCATTAGCCTTTTGCAATGAATTTTTCAAGAAAACTATTTTGGAAACTTGAAGCCTTGTAAAGTCTTCTGCATACCAATTAAAAGAGATATTCCATTCCATTTGTTGATTTGGGAACTCTTACTTTCAAGTGCACTTCTTAAATGAACAATCTTGTTTAATTGAAACATTCCCATAATGGCCATCGTAATTCTGGGTTGTCTTAGTAAGATTTTGCCATTTCTGTAAATATCTACAGCATCTAAGACCATAGTTCTTAGACCTAAAATAAGCAGGTGTGCCAGAAGGTAGAGCACTTAATTCTTTGAAACTTGAAGATCCCATTTCTTTAGGTAAGCCTTGAGTCTCACAGAGCCAAATTAATACCTAAGAGAGATGTGCCACTGAGTTGGGGATTTTATGGTGTTTTACTGTGTACCTTGTTGCATGGAAATTTTCTTCAGGTTGGTGGGTGACCTAGTGTCGATCTAACCCATTCCATGACCAACTTATCCTAGCAGAGGAGTCTTAGATTTAGGTGGTGAGAACTCGAACAGCTTTTAAGTGCTCGACCTGTGCCCACCAATTTTGCAGATTTGGCTCCCAGGACTCCTATTAACAATGGATCTATTACTCCTTTCATGAGAAGATTTCTTTATAGTGGAGGAGGCCCTAATGGCTTTTAATGGTACAACTTGTGCCCACTCAGGTTTGATGTGCTGTTGGTCAAAACAGTTTGAATTTCTTGTCTTAATTTATTTCCCCAAGTCCCACAGCGATTTATGCTGTGGACCTACCTTGAGGTCCCTGTGAGTCCTTTAGCTGCTGCCACCTGCTGTGGACTACCAATATAACTGTCCCGGAACCTTTCTAGGATCCCAGAACCTTTCTGGGAACTTGAATAAACCTCTTTCCTTTAAAAAATTTTGGATAAAGTTTGTTTGGATTAGAGAGCTGCACGCAAGGGAGCAGAGCTCAAATCTGAGAGTGACTTATCCACAGCACTTAGTAGTGATGAGAGGAACGTGCACTCCAAGGGTTCCCTGGGCACGTTGCCTGTGTGTCTCATCCCACAGGCCATTAGTAGTCAGTTTTGGATCCCATCCTTGTCACCAAAACTGTTAAAATGATTAAAGAAGACAATTTAGGTGACACAAACTTTAACACTTCATGAAGCAAGCAGTTCTCCAAACCCTTGAGAGTGGAGACTGCCTGCTTTATGATATATTAAATTAAGTTTATTTGTATGACCTAAATTGTCTTCTTTAATCATTTTAACAGAATGTAGACCACAGATATTTGCATCAGACTTTTTTTTTTTTTTTTTAATAATTTTATTTATTTATTTTTTTCCCCCAAAGCCCCAGTAGACAGTTGTATGTCATAGTTGCACATCCTTCTAGTTGCTGTATGTGGGACGCGGCCTCAGCATGGCCGGAGAAGCGGTGCGTCGGTGAGCGCCCGGGATCCGAACCCGGGCCGCCAGCAGCAGAGCGCTGCGCACTTAACCACTAAGCCACGGGGCCGGCCCATGCATCAGACTTTTTTTAATGCGTTGGGTTGTTGAATGTATAGTGCCTAGGAAGATGGAGTGGGAGGGGATATAATTTTTTAAAGAGAGCGATTTTAAAACAAAATCCATTTTCATTTTAGAATAAATGATCATGAGAATTGTGCATCATTGCTACTTGGGGCCATAGATTCCAGTATTGTCAATTGTAGAGATGACAAAGGCAGGTAAGTGATCCTAAAATGGCATGCTTCTTGTCTTGTTGAATCTTAGTCTCCGCTTTGTGGTTGCGGAGTAGCCAAATATCTATTTTTTTTAATTGAAGAAGTAATATATAAGCATGTTTTTTAAAAATTAAATACAATAAAGGGTATATAATTAAAAGAAATTACCCTCTTAACCCAGAAGCCCCAGCCTCTTTCACTAAGAAAGAAATTTTAAACTTTTCTTTCCAAATTTTTATATTATCCCAAATATTTTCTGTACATAGCTACAAACATATATAAAAATATATATGCTCATATTCTTTTTATGCAAATGGGAACATTCTGTAGCAGAGCTCTGCTTTTAGTATGTATTGGAGCTCTTTCCATGCAAGAACATATAGATTTACCATATTCTTTTTAAAGCTACATATTATTCCATTGAATGGATATACTATAATTTAATGAGCCTGCCTTCTACTGAAGAACATTTAGGTTGTTTCCAATATTTTGCTATTTCAAAGAGTGGTGTATGAACAATCTAGTACATGTGTCTGTTCACTTGACAAAGTGTATTTAGGAGATAAAGTTTGAGAAGTGGAATTACTTGGTTAAAAGATTGACAGTTTTTAATTTTGCTAAATAGTGCCAAATTGTCCTCCCAAAGAAATCAACTATCCACATTAGATGATGTCGGCTTTCTTTTTTTGATTTAAATATCCAATTACCTATAAATTTAAGGTTTAATTTTGAAAGTATCTTTATCAAAGATGAGAGAGAAGTCACTGGAACTCAAGATTAAAGGGTCAGTAAAGATGCCGATTTCATTATCAGGGCTACACCCCCCAAATCTAGGGGGTACCATTCACATAGGTGACACTTCACTGTCCACCTTGATTGGCCTTTAGAGGGGCCTGATCATTATCTCTGCAAACCGGTAAGTTTTAAATCCCTAACACCACGCACATGTTCCTTGGGCATATACAGAAAGAGAGTGTTACACTTAAAGGAAGCTAAAATCATATTTCTTGTAACTTGTTAGGACACCACTTCATGCAGCAGCTTTTGCTGATCATGTGGAGTGCTTGCAGCTTCTTCTGAGACACAACGCTCAAGTGAACGCAGCAGACAATTCAGGGAAAACAGCGCTGATGATGGCTGCTGAGAACGGGCAGGCAGGCGCCGTGGGTATGTGCTCGACTTGTGGACTTTGTGTGTGTGCCTACCCAAAACCAAAGTAATGTAAGGTTGAGAAATCAGTTATTCTCTTGGTAGATACACGTAAAAAAGACCAACATTTTCTTTAAGCCACCTGACTCTACTTGCTAATTGTCTTTAGTCCCCTGTTACTTGATTATTGGAGGACCTTTGTCAAAGTGAGCCAACCTTTCTGCGGTGAAATCTCTCAACATTTAGAAACCAAATATAATGACAGAATCATTTTACCTGAAAATAGCAAAACTGTAAAGACAATTAAAATTAATGCCTATAGCCCTTGGATTTCCATATAATGAATAGGACAATAGATTGCTCCTTTTTTCTTTAAAAACATTAAATATGATTATGTGAGCTGTACTAATTTAAATGTGTTATTGTTTCTATAGTGACTTCTTCAACCTGCATGTAATTAGCATCTGGTCTAAGTAACTCTCCTTTGGCTTTTCCTGTAGATATTTTGGTGAACAGTGCCCAGGCTGATCTGACTGTGAAGGATAAGGACTTGAACACACCCTTACATTTGGCTAGTAGTAAAGTATGTAAATGAATTTGAAACAGTGTTACTTAGTGTTGTAATAATAATAATACCACTTAAACTCTGTCTATCTTGGAACTGTGTATCGTGGCTCTTAATTAAGATGTACATTTTCCCAGGATGTTGTCAACTGTCAGTGGAATGGAAGGGGGAGAAGCAAAGAGCAGACCCACATGGGGGTGGTGAGGATACACCTTTCATGGCATTGGCCAATGGCATTCTTGCCCCTGCCTGTCTTGGTGCTGCCACTGTATCTGTCTCCATGGTTGTGGTACCACATTTTGGTTTTAAACACAGGTTAGGACCTTGGTTATATGGCTTCTAAAATATAAGCAGTTCCAACTTGTTTTCATTTTGTTGCATTTGAAGACATTATAATAACACAGCCAAAAAACACTCTCTTATGAGGCAAATGTGTTCATGGGCGTTTCTACCCTCTCCCATTTTTTTCTGGCGCATAGTTCAGCGCAAAGAATGTGTGCTTTCTTTTAATAGCATTGCGTTCATATGTAGCTCAAGGTTCCTACTTCCGTAAGAAATAAATGATATGTATAAATATATGGTTTTACAGAAGTGGGATCACACTACTTTATAACCTGATTTTGTTACTGAATCATATATTATGATATCTTGCTTGTAGACATCATGTTTTATAGTGTTTTATAAGATGTGCAGTACTCCACCTTAGGAACGTGCCATCCTTTATTCAACCCGTCCCCTATTCTTAGACATTTGCTTGTTTTCAAATGTATGCTACTATAAATAATGCTAATTGTAGAGAAATCTCTTTTTTAAGAATCTTTACTCATTCCTTTAAAATAAATTCCTAAATGTGAAATTATTGAGTCTAAGGCAATGAACGTTTTTAAGGCCTAATCTCCCTCTAATAAGGTCACAACTGGTTACACTCCACCAGCAATACATCAGAATGAAAACTCCATGGACACTTCTAAAATTATATTTACAAGTCTCCCTTATAAGGCACTAAGTCTGAGGCCAGTTGACACTGGTGATGGTGGTTTATTTCCATATAGTTACAGTACTAAAGGTGTTATCAATACCCAAAGGTACCAGAAGGCTAAGCTATTCCTTTCATTGGTTGCATTTTCTCACTTCATGCTCTGGGAAGCCCATGGAAACCACAAAAAGTGCTCAGTTTCATGAAGTTCATTTCAAGGTGTAGTGTTTTCGTGAATGTAAGTGCAGTGCTTTTCAAACTTTACGGTGCAAATGAATTACCTCAGGATCTTGTGAAAATGCAGGTTCTGATTTAGTAGGTCTGGGGTGGGGCTGAGATTCAACATTTCTGACTCCCAGGGGATGCTGCTCCTCTGCGGGCCGCACTTTGAGTAGTTAAGGATTTAGGAAGCCATGACCGCTTAATAGGGTCTAGGCCTGAAATCATGAAAGGGTCTCTGATTTATCGATTGATTTTTAAAAAATTATCAATCACCTATTGTCATAAGATACAGAGATATTTTCCCCTGGTTGAGGAAGAAAAGAATGAGCTTTCCTGAAAAAGAGTCTCTCCACAATATAAGGCAGTAATAGGGCCGGCTCCGTGGCTTGGCGGTTAAGTGCGCGCGCTCTGGTGCTGGCGGCCCAGGTTCGGATCCCGGGCGCGCCCCGAGGCACCACTTCTCCGTCCAACGCGAGGCCGAGTCCCACGTACAGCAACTAGAAGGATGTGAACCTATGACATACAACTGTCTACTGGGGCTTTGGGGGGAAAAAAATGAATAAATAAAATCTTTAAAAAAAAAAAAGGCAGTAATAATGTGATGGGAATCCCAAGGAGAGATGGATCACTGAAGTGGTAGTTGAAGCCTTGAGTAAGGAGGTGGGACTTGACTTATGGTTAAAAAGTAATGTTGGAGGATTTAAGGGTTACTCCTAATTCTACTCTCTGTTTACCAGCTGACCTAACTGAACTAGCATCTGCTCCAGCTCTCTGGACATTAATTCTAAAAGTTAGCTTAGAAATATTAATATTTTAGATCAGATTTATATTAACCAAGTCCTAATAGACCTTATTCAGAATCTTTGAGAATCTGGGGCCCTTGAACTATTTGCTTTTTAGAAGAAAAAAGAATTACTCAGAAAATAACCTTATAAAATGTTTTTAGGCAGAGGACATTCATTTTAAATTTAAAGCATAATGAAGTGATTTTTCTGGAACTGTTCTGTGTCCCTGTCCTGTGTTTCTTATCATTATTTTTCTTTATTAGGGTCATGAAAAATGTGCCTTGTTAATACTTGACAAGATACAAGATGAGAGCCTTATTAATGCAAAAAATAATGCACTGCAGACGTAAGTGTGACTCCTGAAGTCTGACTCAGACCCAGAATCATAGTCATTTATTCAACAGATATTCAGAGCTTGCTGTGTGCCAGGCTAGAGCTGGGGACTGCAGTGGTGAAAGGCACAGACCTGGCTTCTCCTTCATAAAGTTGACAGTCACATACCTACAAATGCTCACCACGCTAGACATTTCTAGTTAGAATCTTGATTTTGATATGCCTTCCTAGAAATTTGTGAAGTCTGTGTTTTTCTTTGCTGATATTTCTATGGTAATATTAAAATTTAGTGGGCTGTTAAAAAATCTTATAAGCTGACATATTTGGAGAAACTGTTTGTATAAATGTATTAGCATTATGTATTCTTACTGGAAAATGTCAGTTTTATAAACCAGGTTCCCAGAATACATTTGAAGAGTTTCTAAGCTATTTGTGTTAATTATATTTTAATATAATTCAGTGTAATCCTCAGCATGAAAGACCAAAAAGCTGCTTCATTTGCCATTTTAGGAAATTGCTTACACATTTGTTTTAAGGGCAAAGGAATACTAAGATTTTTTTTTTCATTAAGATTCTTAAGTAATATGTAGCAGAATATACTGGGTTTGACATTCTTTAAGGAATTCTAAGTTCATTAAAATATTATTTAGTGCATTTAGTAATAATAAGGTTTGAGATTACATATATGGGTATTATTAATACCAGTTATATTGATGAGCTGTGTAAAACAGTGATTCAATTGCTGGAGTAGAAAGCAAGGGGTAAAGAACCTTCTGGAAAACACACCAGAGCTTGAGTTCTTCCTCTGGCTTCCTATTTACCGTCATTGAGGTTTTTGAGATGCAGAGTATTTGTAATATCTGCAGAGAAATCTGGGCCAACTTGGGAGAACAGTTGGATCATTAGCACCTGGAAAAGGTCTGGTCAACAAGTATTCTTTTTTGTAAAGTAAAAACATTCATTTACTATTTATAAGTTCTTAAGTACTTTCTTCCTTTTAGCAACGCAAAGTGACACATTCTCACACAAATACAGATCACAAATGATGCTTGGCGTTGTCTTTCCTTAGACCCCTCCATGTTGCTGCACGCAATGGCTTGAAGGTGGTAGTGGAAGAATTGCTGGCCAAAGGGGCCTGTGTCCTCGCTGTAGATGAAAATGGTAAGTGGAGACAGTAAACAATTACTACAGGTGCCTTCCGTATGCTGTGAAGCCAGAGGAGAATGAGAAAGATAGGAGCTAGTTAAAAAGGCAGTAAGAATTCTCGCCCCCATGGAAGTTCCCTGTGTGTGAGAAATCAAACAAGGATAATTTGTGCTGTCTGTCTTTGTAGACACATAGTCCCCCTGTAGCCCACCAGGGCCTTCCATTTTGCATGTAATGTCAGCAGCTGGCCTCTAACTCCTCAGCGTGGTGGTTACAATATTTTAAACACACTAAAAAGCTTTCAACTTGGCATTCGAAATTCGAACTGCGTACGCTGAAGAGTTAAGGATTACGCATGTCATTAGTGCATGCTCAAGGGCTCAAATAAAAACCTAGGTCTACGTGTTTCAGTTCATTCTGAGACCAAACCTTTTTTTTTTTTTTAAGAACATATCAGAACTCATATTCCCAGTATGGATATTTAGGGAACATGAGTAAAATTTTTTAATTAATATCTAGGCTCGAAAGCTTCTCCTGATCTATATAACGTGCCTTTTCTAAATGCGCTAACTCTTAACAGAAGCTTTCTACTCTGCTTCCTAAGAAATTCTGAAAGCTAATGAACACTAGAATTGTATGAAACTACTGTTTTAAGCACAATGCCTATTAACCTTGGGGAGCAAAAGAGGAACTTCTGGATATTTATGAGTTAAGTAATTTTTTAAAACATGGCATTAATTGTGGCATTTGATTAAAGTATTATAATAAAATGTATTAACATAACTCAATTAACTGCTTATTACAGGTATTGGAATTAGCAGCTCATGCCTATTTCTCAGAAGTAAGCAGCCATATGACTTCAGTAGCTAACTCCTATTAGTTTTGGTTTTGCAGCCCCATTTATCCTGGCATGTACCCTGCTCTGTCCCCAGCCTGACTCACCTAGGAGGCACAGAAAGTTCTCTATTTCTCCATCTCCTTTTTTTCTCGCCTTACCTTCCCACACCCTCTTGTCACCACTATATAGATCTTAGGGTTGGCGTGCAGAGGCCCACAATTTTTCTCCAAAATGACCAAAGACACCAGAATAAATTAGTTTTGTCTTTCTTTGGTATAAGTCTGCTGTATCTGAGGCTTGTCCAGCCCGTAGTGACCTTAGGAACAAAAGCCCTGGGCCGTAGAACTGTGGCCTGTCTCAGAGCTTAGCTGTACCCTAAGGCCTGGGAACATTTGGGGCCATTTTGTACAGCACTACAATCATAATGCCTTTACTCATCACCAACCTCGTGGGATGGAATGTTAAGCTATCTGTCCATTCTTGTTTGTTTTCAAACCAGAGAGAGGAATAATCTGGTAAGGGGGCAGGTGGGTGGGGCAGAAATCAGGTCAGGTGCTGATAAACAAAACACCAAAAAGTAAAGTTTTTTTGAGCCAGTTCCTCTGAATAAATGAGTGAGTGGGAGTAGGAACTGTGGCCAGCAGAGAGGACAGGCTAACCCTTTCAGGCCAGTAGAATAAAAGCTGGATATGGATAGCGATTAAATGAAAGATAGCGTTGAGATAGTGTTCTTTTCTGGACCAGACTCATCAAGTCTAAATGATAGAGAATGACACAACTCTATAGCAAATATAGCAGTTTTGCCACATCTGTTACATTGAGGATTGGGGACTTTGGTTGGTGGTGTTGCTATTTTTTTTAATTCTAAGTTTCTTTTAAATGGTAGTACATTTTTAATTACAGACAACCAGTGCCTTCCTGTCTCTGATCTACTCACATGATTCAATTTTTCTAGAACCAGTTAATTGGTGTATACTTTATATAAAGTATATATAAAGTGACAAAACTGCGCAACTCACTTTTTCAGACATCTGATTTCAGTGTCTTTTCTAATCTGACGCACGATTACCTGCAATGGAAAGTCGTTGTTCTCAGAATGAGAGTGCTCTGGCCCGAGCCCCAGGCGCATGGTGTGCATGTGCTCTCAACTGGAAACATCTTTCTGGTTGTCCTGTTGCTGTTTGTTGTGGAATTGTGTCCCGCCCCCAGCCCCTCGTGTTTCTGTTCACTAGATAAAGACTGGAATCCTGCCTAACTTCGGATGATATAGTGCTTGTTGTCATGTAAGCTGAAAAACACACCCATAAAGTGTCTCCCCCTCCCGGTCCCTCTAGCCTCACCCCTAGCATGACTTGTGGGAAGTAACTTCTCCTTTTGCCTGGCACGATTTCTAACTCGACATACATCTCCGCGTGTGAGGTCGTGCGAGATGTACTGTGGAATGCTCACCTGCCTCTGGATTTCCCAGACTAACCACTGCCTTGTCTGCATTTACGCCCAGGTCATACCCCGGCCCTGGCTTGCGCTCCTAACAAAGACGTGGCTGACTGCCTGGCCCTCATTTTGGCTACCATGATGCCTTTTTCTCCTTCCAATACAATGACGGCTGTCAACTTCGTTTGTTTTAAAAAAGACAATTTGAGCAGGACGACCCTCTCCAATCTGGGTAGCATGGTTAGCCTGTGCAGTAACAACGTAGGCTCGGAGGATGGGTACAATGAAAATGATTCTGATTCGGAAACGTTTTGACTTTGGACTGTAAAAGCTTTTCCTTGATCAACCATGTTGGAGGAAGGGAAAGAAGCTTGAATTCCAGGTTTATGTTGTGTTCAAGTATTATTATGGGCCCAGGCTTCCAGAAGCCAGGAGAGAAGGAATTAATCAAACTGAAGGAGGGCAGCTAGGCTGGAGGGCAGAGCACTCACACAAATGGGCCCCACTTTTGATTTGTTTCATGTTTTCCTTAGATCTAAGATGCTTCTGTGAAAGTCTACCTCTCATTTTAAGTAAAGAATAAAAAATGCATTTAATTCTTTTTGTTTGGGGATAGTACACCAAGAGGGAGCTGTTCTCTATAGAGACTTTTTTTCATGTACTCACTTGGCAGTGAGTTCTCAGAAGTATATCAATGTGACATTCATGTCCCCCCAGGAGGGGAGGGAAGGGGTGGATAGGAAATGCCTCAAACCTCTTCTCACTTTGGTGTTTACTTCCTCACTAGAAGCCAAAGGTAAAGGTGTTCATCTTCAGAAATAATGCCTGTAATAATCTTTTTAAGGGAGTCCAATTATTCATATCCTCTCTATAGTAAGCACTTAAATATCCAGAACTTCTTTCTGAGGATTTTTGTTCAAGTTACCAGATGAAGAGAAAAATTCACTGAAAATGGAACTTGCTTTTTTCATTTAACACAAATATGGCACCCAGTGCTCCCCATAAGCCCGTGACTAATTTTCACCCAAGTGATTGAGTCCAAGTCTAGTAACATTTTGGATGAAAATTGTATTGCACCAAAATTTTGAGACATATGCAAATTTAATGTGAAACTACTCTTTCTTAATTCATCCTTAAATCAAAATACTAACTTTTAAAAACATCAGAACCCTCAGCATTGTTCATCAATAGTAAAATGGTAAATAAGCTTCTGAGTCAAGGTCATGCCAAGTGAGTCAAAGTGTGACTGCCAAAGGAGACAAAGCAAGTGAAAGCAGGAGGTAGAAATGGCTGACTCGAAATTAAAGCCAATTGATAGTTGCTTGATGATGAAATCAACATGGTGAATACTGTGTCTGCTCCCTCTGCCAAAGCTTCTAGGTCAAATGGACCCCGTTCTGCACCTGGAATAGCTGTACAAAAAGAAGAATGAGACTCTCTAAAAATTATGCACATATACACGCACACATATATGTATGTGTATGTCTGTAGTTCATCAACCAGCTATACATGAGGACCAAAATGCTTCAGTCTAAAATGGAAGATTTAAATGGTTTTCCTCCAAAATGGAAGTGAGAACTGAAGTAGCTTTTCTATGGAGTTAAAATGTAATCTTTTTGCGTAACAGTCTTTGTTGTATTTTATATTTCTTATGACACAGATTTCTAGTTGATGGCTTAACATTTGTAACTGATGATGTGTTGACCACAGCTTATTTTTTTGCCAAACTACAGAAAATGTTCATATACTTTTGATGTAAATGTGTTTGTATTTATTTGAAATGAAACAAATGCCGAGGAAACATCCATTGTTTGTTCTCTGTTTTAATTGCTATGTGTCTTACTTGGAATAACAAAAAAGCAGAAAAACACACAAGACCCTCCCTGGGCTAGCCAGCAGTCCTGGGCCTAGCCCATCGTTTCTACTGCTAAGATTTCCAGCCAACCCTCGGGCTCTTCACGTAGGTTGGAGTGGGGTACAGCATCCATCCATCTCTGAGCCCCAGTCTGTAGCCACCTTAGAGCTCAGAGGACTCTGCAGTCCTTATGGTCTGCTGCAAGATGAAAACTAAAGTGGATCCTACGCACAAAGGTGGCCCAAAGAAAGATACAGAAATTATGCTAAATCCACTGAAAATCTCACATCGTCCCAAGAACCCAGTGGGAAACTATGTCAGTGTGTGGGCCCATGGACCAAGAGAAGAAATAAAAATCACCAGCTCAAGTGCTATTTTCCACTTCAGGAAGAGACGGGAAAGAAACATGTTGCTTTAGAGCAGTTCTTTCTGACATTTTATAAACGGCTCCATTTTCATCCTGGAAATTGCTATTTTATAGTGTATGTGAGACATTTTTAACACAGTGTTCTATCACATCTGGCTCAAATGCAGATACTGTATTGTATTTTTCATCTAACTGTAAAAGACTTTAATCTTACTCTTTTAATATCCTGGATTTAATTAAAAACTCATGTTGGGTTCTTCACAAATGAAAACTTGTTCACAGGACTTATAGAATTGGTATTAATTTCACTGAAAATTTTTGATACCACCAACATTGTGTTTTTAATTCTTAGTGTTGTGTTCCCGTCATTCCTCTGTCCTTTTTGTTTGTTTAGAGAAGATGAATTTTTAAAAAGTAGATAAATTGCTAATGAGCAATAATGACCTTATCTTTACCAAAACACTGAAAATAAAGGAGATCCGGTGCTGGAGAAGCACGGTATACTGCGTGTCTTTTTCTAGAAGTGAATGGAAATCTTGCTCAGTTGGCGTTTAAAGCAGGAAATGAAATGCCTGCTTTAACGATGAAGCAGTGTTAACATTTCTCCTGTAGAGCAGCACGGAATAAGGAATGTGGCAGCAAAGCCGTGACGCCATGCGACATTATCTCCATGGAGCTGCGAGTTGACTCCCCCCCCCCCCCCCCGCTCTCTTACTGATAGAAAGGAGGAGGACAAAAGAACAGAATGAAATCACGACCACTAGAGAACCGTTCATTGAATCCATCTCTTTCCCTCTCTCGCTCTCTTTCTACTTCTCCCTCCCCCTAGACCAAAATTTTTTCCTTTAAGAAAACACTTTAAAAACTATGAGTTCTGTGTTTTTCAAGTACATCTCTTAGGAATAAAACTAGATTTGCAACATGGCTTTCTAAGAAAGAAAACAAACAGAAAAAATTGTGCTTTTCATTGAGTCTTAGTTGTTTAGCGCTTTTATGGAAATGTGTTATTTTTAGACCATATTTTAACCACAGCCACAGGGATCGTATTTCATCCACTTACCTGTTCTCTGTGTCTGCCTATCCTTGGTAAATACATCACTATCTCCAAATTGCCTAAAATCTGCTATGATTCTACAGTAACTAGCTCAGGGGACTTCTATTGATCACTACTAAAAGGGCACCGTAGTATGTTTTGGTACTTTAGGCAGTAAACGGCTGCTTGATTTATTATTTTGTTATTAAATTAGAACAAGAACATCGAATGGATTTGCTGCACTAGTTATTCTTTGTACTGTTGAGCAACTTGGTTTGCTTATCTGTTGTGTTGGTTGAAGAACTCATCCCTATTTGTCTTGTAATATGAAGTTAGAGTGCCTTTTTATATTTGTATATTCTGAAAATGTTCTGTGAAATGTTTTGTATTTTTTTCATTTGAGTGTTATCAGAGCAATATAATACCAGTGACTTTTCATTTCGGCCTTTCTTTGAATGTATAAAGTGTCTTTTTTCCTATTTCCCCTTTTACCTGCTTTGAAATGAAAATGAAAATGCTGAAGTTTTTTATAGGAGTTATGTTTGATATTGCAGTGCTAAGATGCATTCTTCTTACCAAACTGTAAACCATAGGTCAGTGTTATAGGGGAAAAGCGTTTTAAGATAGTGACAATCTGAGTGTGTGTATTAAATGTAATTCTATGCGTTTCTTATGCAGTGATCTAAAAATTCAATGCAAATATTTCTTTGGTAGTTTTCTCTACATATTTTATGCTTTAGCATGTGCAATATATCTTTGCAAAGCACGATGATACAAATCTGGTGCCAGTGTTATATTTTGCATAACATATTTGTAACAGCATAAAATATTGTTTGATGATTTCAGTGGGATTTTGTCTGTAATGTTTTCTTATGTAAATTGGAGTTGAATGACTGGTAAATGTCATGACTGTAAAAATGAGGAAAATGACTTTTAGTTCAGTGAATGACTTGGAACCAATCTGAATCTTCTCAAGCACAGTTTAATACTTTTTCAACTACTGAATGCTAATAATGTAATGAAGTACTTAACTGTAATATACTATGGAAGTGCATTCAGATGGTTATTTTTACAAATAAAAACGGTACAAATATTGTTGCAATTTGTGTTGTCTTTAATTTTTCCTATTTATGCTAATTTTACCAATTATTCTGCTAATTTAAATCTTCATCCTCCGCCAAAGCCAAGTTAACCTTAAATTTTGAAATATATAATCAAGATAGAAGCGTATCTCCAGATTTGCTTTTCTGTTTATATCATCACAGAGAAAAAAATTTCAAAAGTATTTGTTTGTGTTTATTATATTTATTTATGCCTCCAAGTTTCTCCATAAAGGATTTGAGCTGGCTTGCAACAAAACGCATGTGATAAACTAGAAGTAGAAAAATTAGGACAGGGAAAAAGAGTACAAAAAAATATGGGAACCATAAAATTTAACACAGTGACTATGACTGAACTTGAGTTTGCTCTGAGCTTCCTTGCAGCCACAGTAAGGGGGGAAATGTGACTAATTGTATAGATCACATATGTCAAAAAAGATGAAACCTTCTAGGTCCTCAAAACTGTGAAATCAACCATGCTTACGTTTGTTGCTGCCCCCACTACCCTTCAACTGCTTCACAGCAACACAGGACTCTTGTACTATTCTTAAAGGTATCCATAGAATTTCCTCTCCATCTGTCTCGCCATTCACAATTTCTCCCCTTGAGTAGTAAATTCAGGGACAGTTCCTAGAAGCACTACAGAACAAATTCCTAATGATGGAGTTTCCAGCTGATGAGAAAGAGATTTTGGGGTGGGGCCTTCCTGAGTTCCTCACATCACAGTGTCATAGAATGTTAGCAGTTCTTAGAGTGTACCCCAATCCCATCACCATCTTTTTCGTGAAGAAACTGAATCCCAGAGAAATTATAGAATTTGCTTGAATTTTTATAATTAGTGATCTGAATACACAACTTGTGCCTATAGATGTTCTCTCTTCTATGCCATCCCACCAAATGTTTTGTGGTGGTTGTTGGTTTTTTCTGCTAGAGGTGTTCAGGAAGGTTTTGCACTCCGCCCTATCTCACTCTTTATTTAAATATGCAAATCTGAATGCTTTTCATTCTTGAAGACTCTAAAGCGTGAATCGTACCACAGGTGAGTGCTTCCTATACTTTAGAGCAGACGGGATATATTAGTTATCTAATGCTGTGTAACAAATTACCCCAAAACTTAGTGACTTAAAACAACAAATGTTTATCTCATAGTTTTTGTAAGTCAGGAGTCCAGGCATGGTTTAGTTGGGTCTTCTGCCACAGGGTCACTTACTGGCTGCAATCATGGCGTTGGCCAGGGAAAGATCCATTCCTAAGCTCACTCATTCAGTTGTTGGCAGGATTCTTCATGGCTTGTTGGACTGAGGGCTTCAGTTCCTCGATGGCTGTTGGCTGCCCTCAGTTCCCTGCCAAATGGGCCTTTCCAAAGTGCAGCTATGACATGGCAGCTTGCCTCATGAGAACTAGCAAGCTGAGAAAAGCCAGAGAAGGAGCAAGACAGAAGTCACAGCTTTTTAACTGAACCTCGAAGTGACATTCCATCATTTTTCCCATATTCTGTTCATTAGAAGCAAGTCACTAGGTCTGTCCCATATTCAAGGGAAGAGGATTATCAAAGAGTGTGATTCCAGGAGGCAGGAATCACTGGGAGCCATTTTGGAAGCTATCTACCACACTGAATCTACCACAGTGTCCTTCCAGAATGTAATATCATCCTAGGATAACTTCTTCCCAGTCATTGCTAAGGAAATTGTTTACTTCGACTTCCTAAATTCA